CATGATCATGATTCATGATCCATAACATTAATCTGATGATGTGATTTATGTTTTTTTTAAAGCCTAAGTACCGTAACACTGCAAAAAAAACCCCTACAAATCTGGGTTGTCCAGAGTGATTCGCCCTGATCAATTTAAATAAGTGTTGGGGATTGATTCTGACTCCACTTATAAATGACCCCTTAAAGGTCATTGACTGCGCAACTGGCTCTGTAATAACTAGACCGTCTAAGGAGTTTTATGCAACATTATTACTCTGAAAACGGTTAAATGAGGGTTAGCTTTCAGCGTTCACGCTACACATCACTCCACTGAGAGAGATAACACGTCGCTACGTGCCCTGTAAACGGATGTAAGCCGTTTTAAGTTCTTCAATGTAATTATCAATGTTTTCCATTTTATCATTCATATTATGGCTTATTCAGATGTGCGCGTAACTGCAATGAAAATATCGTGAACTTCACTGTCGATGTTCATTGGGCTGTTAGGCCTGTTATGTGTTTTGCTTTGTATTTGTATGCGTTCTGGTTCCACTCAGAAACGGTATAGTTTCATGTCTATATGTGTCATTCAAGTGCCTCACCTTTAATGTGCTCAACCGTAACATTTGCAGCCATCTGGAGCTCTGGATCTCCTCAGAGCCTCTCCACATGGACTTCAGACTTCATAGAACTGCAAAGTGCCCGTGACAGCTAATGAGCGGAAGTCGTGCACACACACATGATTAACCTGGAAAAGGAACTGTACAAATGTCCATCTTTCTCATGTATTTACTGGTACTGTACAACCCTTCAGGCGGGATTCTTTTTAAAATGGCAAGTTAAACCAAGCGTGAGACTATTTCCCTTGTTATGATGTCGACTTTGTGGAAATAGACATCAATTGCAATTGTTTCTCCCTGGTCCTGCTTTATCGGGTACACTTCTTATTGATTATAATTGAAACTCGAAACCCTAACTCTGCCAGTCAGACCTGGCACGCTAACATCTCTATTAACTAGTGTCAAACCTGATATTGTCTCGTAATATCAAGTGGTGTGGTCGAAAGCACCGATAATAATTGAATCATGGTGTCTTATTAATATGATTCATTTTAATGTTATAATCATGCTACAACTCAGAATTTGTGATTAGAGACTTTTTTTAAAAAAAAACACCCATTTTACGACATCCATATAGCCTCCAACGTCCTAAAACCAGATGATAGGTGCTACATTGCTTGAAAGGGATTGTTAAAGTCCCTTTGATGCTCATATTTATTCCAATTAAAATGCAATCTACTCCCAATCAAACAATTGTGTTAAAGTACAAACTGAGAAATGCAACAGAAATACCATTTTCTTTCCTGGACAAGATCCAAGTATCTTTGCTTCTCGCTATAGGTTCAAACCAGCCACAGCTGAAAAGAAAAACGTTTTGAAATTGTTCAAATAAAACTCTAAAATACATCTAAACGTGTTTTTTTTTCCTTTAGAAAATTACACAAAAGTTAAATATGTCAATATCCGTGAAAATCAGTCTCTATGGGCAGATTGGATTTTTTAAAAAATACTCAAGGCACACCATTCTTTAGATCTCCGCATAAAACAATAAGTATTCAGTAGTGTTAAAGAGTAATTCGCTCACTGATATTTTATTAACCGATATACAGGTATAATTGAACCAGACAGGTCGCTTCTATGATGCCAAACCATTACTCCAGTTAACCCCATGATGGGCTAGAAGTTATTTAAGTTTGGAGTAACTAGTTACCCAAAAAAAAGATTTCTCACACGTTAATAATACACTCGCACAAAACTAACTATACCACATTCTGACCCCTACGTTGTAAAACCAAAATTACAGGTACATTATGTACCTGCGCAACATGCTTTATAAAGCTGCTGGTTTGTTGGTAGGAACAGTTTCAAACCACTTGGATGCAAAGGTTGTATTTGTGTAAGTGCTGTGTCACATCGTGGGTTGTTCTTCCGTTGTTGACTTTCCATAAATAAAGATAAATAATTTATTACATGCTGTATTTATTTCCATTTCTAGTTTCAGTATGAAATGCAGCGCAAAAAAAATGCTGCTTTGGTTTAGTAATATCGTTACACTCGTCTGTTCGGGGTTTGTTTATACATGTGAAACGTTTAAGAGAAGGTAAAATTATTAGTCTTTTTGGGAGGGGAACTACATTGAACATATGTAGCTTTATTTTGATACTGTAATGGTATTTGAAAACGGCTATATACTGGGCATACATTTAGGAACCCTTAGGTAATATGCGTGTTTAATGTTCGCCTTTGATATGTGTTGAAACAGACTTGGAATGCACTTTTTTTTTAAATTCACGGTTAAATTCGGTTCAGCGAATAGCGATTTTTGTCTTGCAGAGAAACGATTATTGAGATGTTCAGTCGCTACGAGCTTGCTGGCATAAACTGGCGTGCATTGTCACGTATTATAGCAAATTAAATTGATGCTTTCTGACAAGTTTATAGAGAGAGCTTTTTATTTGCTTGGCTGATACAGCAGCGATTGTAAACATGTGGAATTAATCTGGACAAAAATACAGAATGCTAATTATTAACACGCCGCTGCTTTGATCATATAAGCGTTTCTGAAATTAAATATAAACTATGGAAAACATAATTTTAGGACACCGGTTAGTAGCAACAACAGATTGCGTGTCTTTCATTCTTGGAAGCATGGGACGTACATACAGAGTATGTACCATTTTTTTTCAATACATATTCATGCTTTGCTGCTGCAGTATTAAAGCATATCTCGATGATTAATGGGGTTATATATGAACCAGTATATTTTCTATACTGTTGAAAACATGATTATTTCCTACATATGAAAATGTAGTAGATAGATATCTAAACATAATCCCACCCCAACACCTTCCAATGAAAACATTGTTTTGCTAATCGCCTGAAAACAAAATAAAGATATATTTAGCCCTGTAATATAAGGCATTCTTATAGACATACTTCACAACTCCTGGCTAATTCAAACACACAAAATAGGATTTTAAGCACAAAGCAGTAATTTTCGGTGTTTTTTTTTTCCTTTTAGGAAATCCTTATCCTAAAACTATGAAAATAAATCAAAGTATATTTTCGCCCTATTGATTTTGTGCATTTTTTTTAAACAAGCCATTTCATTTTTTTCCCCCCAAAGAGTGATCGCTTGGGCAGCTGAATATGCTGCCTGCAGACCAGACGCTTAGTTTCATGCACCAGCGATTGATATGCAAATCTCCAATACTTTAATGCACTGAAGGCATTTCCACAATCTCGAAAACCATTTCAATGCCTGGGAGGGAAATCTGGAATTCAACCGTGTTAAACCGAAAACATATAAAAGCTGCCTTCATAAAAAGCCACTTCAACAAAAGCTTCAGTGAATTTACCCCAAAGTGGTACAATCCATGTCATACCGAAGGTTTCTATTTCTAGAAAGCGGAGATACAATTCTGCCTGCATTTTTGAAACCCACGTTGATCTCTATTTTAAATGATTAAAATGATTTTAAATGAGTGTTTTTTTTTCTGTCTGGCTATATAATCTCAATGATTTCCCATCAAAACAGTCACTAAACTTTTTTTTTAATTGAAACGCACATCACCATAGAAACAGTAAGAACGGGTATAATTCAAAATTCTTCAGTTTTTTTTAACAAAAGAATTAAATTATTTCCGAGAGGTAATTCGAACGCTGCGAAAAGACTGGACATTTGTCCCGATCTAAATCATCTTGTGACGGCAAATTAATCCATTTAGTTGGACACGATCGTTCACCTTTAAGAGATCACTAAATATATATATTGATGTGTTGGTTTTGTTTAAAAAAAAACACGATTATTTTAGCAGCGGGTTAGAAAACCATGGAAATAAAATAATTTTAATTTTAATGGTCTTCAATTAGGTGAACAGGCAATTGTGTGCAGTCATGCAATTAGATCTGGTAACTGATGCTGTTCATAATTCTGTGTGATAAATGGACGTTTCAAAGTGTAATGCTAATTATTGAGAGATTCGGCGAATTAGCAAAAGCATCGGAACATTGTGCGCATTTGGGTCGCTGCACATTGCCCGCCAGTGAAGCTCATTGGAAATTAAAATGGAAATAAATACGGTATCATTTAAATAAAGATTTTTTGGGGTTGTTTAGAAACGACTGAATTATGTTGCATAAGTAAATCCTCTCTGACTAATCTACTTATGGCCCTGCTAATCCATATATGCAATGGCACGTTTGAAATACAGTGCAATCGAAGTGCCTGTCTTGTGGTATACAGTTCGCTGCGTTCACATTTCTTTCTATTATCCACTGACATTTTTAACCCCGACCTACCTTGCATTTTTTTTTATTTTTATTTTGCGTTCTCTTATGTTTCCTTGTCTGGATCAACCCTAGAAACAAAGGTCAGCGTGTTTGTTTGTTTGTTTGTTTGTTTGTGTTTTTTTCTTCTTCTTCTCGAACAAAAAAACGTGTGGGATCTTTGGAGGATCTCAAATCCTGACGCTGGCTTCTTCTGGTTGATTGGCAAATGTGACAGTGATTGACACTCAGCCATGGCAACCGGGCACCCAATCTGCCAAATCCAATAGAAAGTCAGATTGTGGGCTGTGAATGCTTTTTTTTTTTTCCTTTTTTTTTCCAGCATCTCTTCGACGCCACCGCAAAGGATCTCACTGTTGACCCTGGCACTTGGGAACACCAACTTAATCTTTATAGAGTCTGCAAACCCAACTCGCATCAACTGCGTCGCCTATTTTTTTTTTTGCTTCTCTTTCCCCCCACCCCCCACCCCACCCCCACCCCCCCACCCCCAACCCCCACCTCCCACCTCCCATCCCCTGTTACAATCCATTCCGTTTCGTGTTGAGTTTGTTCATTTTTTTTTTGCATTGGGTCCAAGCTTCGTCCTGTGTGTGTGTGTGCGTGTACTTTGTTTGGTGGTGTGTTTTTTTTTTACACGCACAGACACACACGCACAACATTAGAGTCAATGTTTCAGCTGCCAATCCTAAATTTCAGCCCTCAGCAGGTGGCGGGGGTTTGCGAGACGTTGGAGGAGAGTGGAGACATTGAGCGCTTGGGTCGCTTCCTCTGGTCCCTCCCGGTGGCTCCAGCGGCTTGCGAGGCGCTCAACAAGAACGAGTCGGTGCTGAGAGCCAGAGCCATCGTGGCTTTCCACACGGGCAACTACAGAGAGCTCTACCACATCCTGGAGAACCACAAGTTCACCAAGGAGTCACACGGCAAGTTGCAGGCCCTCTGGCTGGAAGCTCACTACCAGGAGGCAGAGAAATTGAGGGGTCGCCCCTTGGGTCCAGTGGACAAGTACAGGGTGCGAAAGAAGTTCCCCCTGCCCAGGACCATCTGGGACGGTGAGCAGAAGACTCACTGCTTCAAAGAGAGAACGAGGCATTTGTTGAGAGAGTGGTACCTGCAGGATCCTTACCCGAATCCCAGCAAGAAGAAGGAGCTTGCCCAGGCCACCGGACTTACACCCACACAAGTGGGCAACTGGTTTAAAAACCGTAGACAAAGAGACAGAGCAGCAGCAGCTAAGAACAGGTTCGTGGTTTTGCTTTTCCTCGATGATTTGAAACCCTCAAATATAAACGGGGTGGACTGGGCAACAGAGAAAAGGTTCTGCGTAATTAATAGTTTTATATATCTTTTTTTTTTACAAAATTCAAGCAAGTTGTCAATTCCAGCCACAGACGTTGAACAGAAACCAGCGAATCTTTTTTTTTTGTGTGTGGGGGCAATTTTAACCTCCATTTATTTGACTTGATGGGATGAATTTATTCCTTACGTTGAACCAAACGAAAACCCCAATTTGTGTTGATCCTTGCTTATTTGCGGCAGTGTTTTAATTGATAAAAAAAAATTGCCTAGCATTACAATTAATAATCAAGAAAAATATGATTGGTTAACCCGCGCTAAGCTGTCTATCCGTCATAATATTTCTTTCTGAATTGAGCTCGAGAACAAATTGAAAAAAGACAAAAAAATACGATACAATTTAGCCATGTTTTCGGATTGTTTTGGTGGATCAACGTTTCACGAATTAATGGTTAGATTAGCCCACAAATCCCATATGTCAAGTGCATTCGACGGTGCTAAAAACATGGGGAGTCTCATCTCTTTCTCCTTTCAGCTTTATTCCGAATCTGGAGCCCTCCCCCCCTCCCCCCCCCCACACACACACATACCTTCGTTTATATTTATACTGTGTTTAAGTATATATTAAATAGACTATTTACACCAAATATATATGTTTCATCGTGCGATGTGTTTTTCATAAACATATTCGATGCCAATATGTCTATGTATGTGCTGAATGTGCTCTTTGCAAGATGTTATTGGTCATCATTTTTCGGTAGAAATCTTCCAGTCTCTTCGCTGTAGATGTGTGTGTGTGTGTGTGTGTGTGTACATAAGAACATAAGAATTGTCCAGGCGAAAGAAGCCCAAGGTCCATCCAGTTAGCCTTCCACCATCCTGGCCGTGGCGTGACATGTCATGTCCCAAACCACTATCTGATTAGATTTCTGTAATCTATCTACATATACTCTGTGTGTGTGGGGGGGTGTGGGTGTGTGAGTGTGTGTGTGTGTGTGGATGTGTGTGTGGGTGTGGATGGGTGTGTATGTGTGTGGATGGATGGGTGTGTGTGTGGATGGGTGTTTGTGTGTGTGTGTGTGTGTGGGTGTGTGTGTGTGTGTGTGTGTTTGGGTGTGTGAGTGAGTGAGTGACTGTGTTTGTGTGTGAGTGACTGTGTTTGTGTGTGAGTGACTGTGTTTGTGTGTGAGTGACTGTGTGTGTGTGAGTGACTGTGTGTGTGAGTGACTGTGTGTGTGAGTGACTGTGTGTGTGTGAGTGACTGTGTGTGTGAGTGACTGTGTGTGTGTGTGGGGGGGGGGCACCTTTTCCCTGGCAAACTCCTCACTGTGCTTTCCCTCCCCCCGAGAGCAGGCTACAGCAGCAAGTCCTGTCTCAGGCATCCGTGCGCTCTCTGAGTGAGGAAGAGGCGGCCGTGGGACCCATGGTGGGCGCTTCCAGTCCCGCCGCCAGTCTGTGCAGCGTCTCGGAGAGAAGCAAAGCGGCCACTTCGGCCATCTCCATCACCTCGAGTGACAGTGACTGCGACATCTGAGAGATACCAGAGAGAGAGAGAGAGAGAGACACACACAGAGACAGAGACACAGAGAGAAAGAGGGAGAGACCACATCGTTGAGAGTGCCTCCAATATCCTCGGCTGCATCCGAACAATGAGTCGAGCAAAGACTGGTCCAATATCACTGGGGGCCAAGGGACCACCAAGTCTCCGCATCATTCCATGATGGACGATTTTTTTTTTTTTTTTTTTTTGCAGCCAGTGGAAGACTTTTAAACGACTACAGTCTTTCAATATTTTTGAGAGAAAAACAAAAACAAAAACTCCTGATCGCCTTTATTTAAAGGATTATATATATAAATATATATATATAGAGAGAGAGAGAGAGGAGAAATAATGATAAAAATAAATACCGATGCGATGCCTCAAAAAACCATTTCTGCCAAGCTGCAACATTTTGAGCACCTGTCCTGTTCCCTTTTCTGGGTATTTCATGTTGAAAGACGATGTTATTATATTTTTGCTTTACTTTAAAGTTTTATATATATACGTTTATTTGCCTATTTAAGACATTTCCTTTGTTAGGTTTGGTATTTTTTATTTTGCTTGTTCCTTTGTGCACAGACTATCGAGTAGAGTAAATGTGCGTTGGATAGTGGACACATAGAGCCTAAAAGAAAATAAAATATTTAACGAACGACTTTTTTTTTTCTTTCTCTGAATCTGTGGTGTCGATAGCCTCCCGACGAGCAACTGCTGCCGCGAGCAGTGAGTTTTTCACGAGCAGAATATCGTTTGTAATGTGTAAAAATTGCCTCGGTTGCTCGGGCAACCTTTTGTACAAACATTTTCGGTCACCAGAGGTTAACGAAATTCACATTTCATCTCATGTAATGTGCATCGGTGGAATCCAGAATGGATATTTAAATCAAAGACTGTCGGAGTGGAGTGTTGGCTGCTGTGGACGGCAAAAGGCCAAATGTCATGTTTCAGTCTGACTGAGCCACAGAGGAGCGAACTGGTTCTGTATTATACAATTTGACGTTAATCGCTTTGAGCTGTGCTCTTTTTTACGTTTGCTCCGACTGCTTTCCATTTGCAGTTTGTGTGTTAAGAGAGTGCATACCTCTCTGCCTTTCGACTTAATCCGATTGCTTTATTTGCTGTGGAAAGAACACACACTCTGCAGCGGCAAAAAAAAAGAAGAAGGATTTTCTCGTGGTAGGGATGTGACTGGCGTTGGATGTAAACCACATAATATGCCTTATATATTGTATTGTATTGTTATGCTTTTGTGCATAACCAGAAACGTTCCTTACAGTGAGAGAGAGAAATGGGTGAATTAACATCTTAACATATTGCTGTTGGCTAAGTGACAGATTGTATTTTATGTTGTTATTTGCGGCTGTGATACTCGCAGTTTATTTCCTCTATATCTGTTACAAAATATAATTCAAAATATTCATTCCACGTTTTCTTTGGAAACCCGTGCTTGCGTTTTTTTTTAAACCAATGCATTGATGTATTTTATAAATTGAATGAGAAACGTAACCGAGGAATGGGAGACGCCAATTAATTGCTGCGAAAAGCAAAAAATCACTCCTAAGGTAACTGTAAAGAGGGTAAAGAATCTGTTTCACATTTTACCGTTTAACTCGGAACAAAAGGCGTTTTATACGCATTTTGAGTTTCAATCAGTGGATTTCAATTATTTTTATAATTCTGACGGACAATAATTGCTGGAAACTATTTGAATATATGGGGAGGGGGAAAAACATCAATTGATCTTCTCGAATTACCTTTTGCAATTGGTATGATACACTTCTACTTACAAAGCAATTATTTGTGTAGAATAGCAACCGTTGCAATGTACGCTGGCATTTTTTTTGGGGGGAGGGGGGAATCATATCCAAGAAAAGGAATATATTTCAAGCACTTTTCTATTTTTGAGTATATTTTGTGTGGTGTAATCTGCAAGTTGCAGTAAAATGTTCGTGTTAAAGATAACATGACACCTCGAACTGGGGAGAGGGTGTCTATGTCTCTTTCTCCAGTGAGCGTTTGTGTTGTTTTGCAGTATATGTGGAGGACACATTTTTAGGTGTGTGTGAGGTGTGGGGGCTAAACACAGTGAGCATTATGCAATTCTTGGTTTTAAAGCAACAGTGGATCCAAATATTGCAAAAAACATCGTGCAATCTCGCAATATATTTCGCTTTGACTGCATTTAGTCAGTGACAACATTTAGCCAGGATAACATTATTTATGATTAACGACACATGACGTTTTTTAAAAAAAATCCATACTTGACCAGTTCAGTACATTTTACTCATATCATTGGGTGTAATTTTAAAATCCTGGGTAATATCAGAAGCAGTAATAACCTAATGATTTGTACAGGTCGGGTTACCATTTTGTATTTATCTAAAGAAGAATGTGTGCGTTCATGTGGGATAATGTGTGGGCGCAAGGTTTAGCTTCCATAACAGTTAATCTATATTTACGTCGAACACCGTCCCACAATGGCTAATCGCACCGACTTCTTCTTTGTATTAAAAGCTATTTATCATAAATCAAATAATCTGTTTATTCGTCTACACCCCCCCCCCCCCTTTTCACCTGGCCCATCCGCTCCCTCCGTAACCCATAAATGTTTCTGGAAGGGTAACACAAAAATATTGCTGATGGGAGCTCTCGACAGCCAAAAGATTGGACCACTCTGGTCTGTATTGTACGCAGACACACAATTAACACATAGTTTTCGAAAAAAGAGAGATGTGTCAGTTTGGGGATGAAATGATGAATGATTCCCCCCCCCCCCCCCCCCCCCACTGTCAACCAAATACACAATTCCCTAAGTTGATGTTATTCGATAACCACGTACACTATTCTCAACCGTGGGATCAGGTCTTTCAGTCTTTCTAAAATATCGGATTAAGTTCCGTTTTATCTAAACAAATAGCCCGAGGCTGCAAATAAAAAATCGCAGGCAATCGGATATTGCTTCAGGCAAAAGGACCGTTTTAATAATGATGGTGAAGCAAATTGTGGTGTTGAGAAGTGCCTGGTGTTTCAACGTAACGAACACCGAGAAAAACTTTATATCCTTTCCAGTTTGTGAACAACAAATGCTTCACATTCACGGCTGTGGGTTCATTACAATGTCAAATGATCGCCGCAATAAGTTGTTACAGACAGATTTTGTGACCGAGAATTTAGTTATCATTGATCTATACATAATCTGTTAGTAATACTCTCTCTCTCTATATATATATATATATTACAATAGCAAAAGGATGCCGAATATGTCAATTGATGAACATTAGTTGATTTCACTATAACGGTGAAATACTTTTTTTTTCTGGATTGGAAATTTTCCCACATGACACACGATATGCTATTTCTATTCTCTTGTCGTGTTGATAACCCGTGTTGGGTTGAACCATAACACATTACGGGTTCACCCGGAAGAGATCTTCTGCTGTATTATACACCGAGGTCCCAAATTAAAACAGCCCTCATCTGTGTGTGAACAGCGTTGCGATAAATTGCAACGCAAGTTCCATTTTTCCGCCCCCCCAAAAAAAATGAACTGTTTTTTTTTGCATCAAGTTGCAATTGTTTTAGGACACTGATAACTGCGATGAGGCAATCCACTATTTTAAATCTATAGACGTATTTACTGTACATGTATGTGACTGTAATTTGTGACATCACCGAGAACCAATGGAGACTGAGTATTCTGCGAGTGGAGGGTAGGTATGAGATGCTCTGGGATTCAGCACATTGGGGTAGTGACTGTAACCGGACCTTTGCCCAATCGCAGGAGCACAGGTCACCTATAGGATTTATAGGTATTTCACGAATATGGCGAAAAAGGATATTTGGTTTAAAAAAAAAGTTGTGTGTGTGTGTGTGTGTGTGGGGGGGGGGGGGGGGTGCAATTTGCTCGATCAGTCAGATCGAAACTAGGTGATTTATACATAAATTAGCCTGGTTACATGGGTTTCCTGAGTAAGTCTGCCCCCAACTAACGTCTGACTGGACAGCGCTTTGGGACGTCCTCCCGACGTGAAAGGCGCTCTAATAAATGTGATATTGTTGTCGTTGTTGTTGGCAGCTGTGAGCGAAATAACACTGATTCGCAGTCTGTGTGTGAAGTCCCAGATAAGATGATTATTTTGCGAACCTTCCCACGCGTTTGAAAGTTGATTTTGGATTGTGAAAAGATAAAATGCCTGGAGTTGAAATGTTTTCAGTTCACCTTCTGTGTCCTGTGTACTTAACTCTTACCGAGACCCCGAATAATAATTCTCACCTTTAGCTGATCATTTAAAACAAAACCCAAATACCTGACCTGTTGAGTCTTCCCAGCAACTTCTGTTTTTGTTTCAGATGATTATTTATGTGTTGTGAAAGACGTGGAGCAAAAAAAAAATCGAATTGGATGTATTTCACCGAACATTGATGACGGAGCAATGGAAAATATTAGCTGAGTTAAATTGTTGGGATATTATTTTTAATTCTAACCATCGACGGGGCGATTTCATCTTCTTAAAGGACTCTTTTGGGACCAGGATCTCTTTAGAATCAAATCGCGTTACCTTCGTGTGGGGGTCCAAATGACACAAAGTCTAAGTGGTAGACTAATATCATCATTGTGTTGGATTAAGGACAATAAACAAGAATTTATAAAGGAGGGGGGAGCTGAGGCATGTGTTGGTATTATAAAATAACAAAAGACTTTTGTTTAAAAAAAACACGTCCCAATAAACACAGATGACATTTATAATTCACCAGTTGCCTGCCTGTCGCTTCCAAAAGGTAATGTTCACCACACAGCGCATTCAGGTGAACAATATGTCACCCCAAAAAGCGCAATTGTCGCTTTCTCGGGGCCTTTTGCAAAGTATAAAGGGAGAAAGAAAATATTGTGTCTCACTGCGACGAGGGGAGGAGAAGCGAAGCAGCTTAGTCTCCCCTTTTGTGTGCCGAACCAGGACATCTTCGAATATTTCCGTTTCTATTGAAGCTCGGGGTGGACCTCAACAGGAATGAAAGGGAAAGTATTGTGAGCAATCCACAACGTTGTCGAACTTACTCTGAGTAATACACGCTAATGATGAGGTCTCGAGTCCCCTGTGGGACAAAAGGCGCTCGGAGTGTTTTGTGATGCTGTATTGGCTAACGAGGAGTGTACAAAAGACTTACCAGCAT